GCTGCGCTGCGCGGGTCCCGGCGCCCAGGAGGAAGAGGAGGAGGAGGAGGAGCAGGCCGCACAGCCCCGCGCCCCTACGCGCGCCCCGCAGGATGGGGAGGGGGCCCAGCCGTGTCCGCCCACCTGCGCCTGCGCCCTGACGCCCCCGCACAGCACCTGCGAGGCTCGGGGGCTCGAGGCGGTGCCCCGCGGCTTCCCCAATGACACCCAACTCCTGGATCTGCGGGGGAACCGCTTCTCCGTGGTGCCCAGGGCGGCCTTCCCGGGCCTGGGCCACCTGGTGTCCCTGTACCTGCAGCGCTGCCACATCGCCGAGCTGGAGGGCGGGGCGCTGGCGGGGCTGGGCCGCCTGGTTTACCTCTACCTCTCTGACAACCAGCTCTCAGGCCTCAGCGCGAGCGCCCTCGAAGGGGCGCCCCGCCTCGGGTACCTGTACCTGGAGCGCAACCGCTTTGTGCAGGTGCCAGGGGTGGCCCTGGGCGCGCTGCCCGGCCTCGTGTCCCTCCACCTGCAGGACAACGCCGTGGAGCGCCTGGCGCCCGGGGACCTGGCTGGGGCGCGGGCCCTGCGCTGGCTCCATCTGAGCGGGAACCACATCACGCACGTGTCCCTGGGCGCCCTGGGCCCGGTCAGGGAGCTGGAGAAGCTGCACCTGGACGGGAACCAGCTGCGAGAAGTGCCCACCGGGGCCCTGGCGGGGCTGCCCAGCCTGGTGGAGCTGCGGCTCGCGGGGAACCCGCTCAGGACACTCCATGACGGGGTCTTCCAGACCGTGGCCCGCTCTCTGCAGCACCTGTTCCTGAATGGCAGTCGCCTGGAGCAGGTGGGCACAGAGGGGGCACGAGGCACCAGACGCTTAGACTGTCCCCTCGGTGCCCTGAGATAGGCCGGCCTGGCCCTGCCCTCAGGGGCTTAGGTGGGGGACAGACCTTGGAACCCAGTGCCGCGTGATGACAGTCTGCTCAGGCGAGGTGCTGACGGGCCTAAGGAGGGGGCCATGGGTCTACTGCTCGTACATGTGGGGGGACAGTTCTGGAGCCCCAACGTGCTTTGCATAATGGGAACAGAGAGGTGTGTCCTCAGAGCCGTATGACTTTGGCATCAGGCCAATCTTGGTGTGGCCCTCGGCCCTCCCCACCCTCCCTGGGCCCCCTTGGGCTGCAGGAGCCCCCTCAGGCTAGGAAATGCGTCTCCTGCAGGTTTCTCCCCATGCTTTTGAGGGTCTGGGGCCCCGGCTCCAGAGTCTGCACCTGCAGGAGAACCAGCTGCAGAGCCTGCCTGCCCTGCCTTCCCTCACGGGGCTCGAGCACATTGACCTCAGTGGCAACCCCTTCCGCTGTGACTGCCAGCTGCTTCCGCTGCACAGGTGGGAGCCCAGGGACCCCAACGCTGCACATGGGGAGGCGCCCAGGGACCCCCCACACTGCACACAGGTGGGCGCCCAGGGACCCCCACACTGTACACGGATGGGAACCCAGGGACCCCCAGACTGCACACAGGTGGGCACTCAGGGACCCCCACACTGCACACAGGTGGGCGCCCAGGGACCCCCACACTGCACACAGGTGGATGCCCAAGGACCCCCCCACACTGCACACAGATGGGCGCCCAGGGGCCCACACACACTGCACATGAGTGGGTGCTGGGAGACCCCCATGCTGCACACAGGTGGATATCCAAATGGCACACAAATGTGCACTGTGGGCTGGATGGACCCCAGCTCAGAGACCCCCACACTGCACATGAGTGGGCACCCAGAGACCCCCCCCATTGCACATGGTTCGTCACCCAGACTTGCATGGACCCTGGCTGGAAGATCCCCCTGTGGTGCACAGGTGGACACCATGGGCTGGATCCTCGGCTCAAAGGCATGCCCCTCCACCACTGGGGCACAGATCCTGGTGTGGAGCTATGGTCAGCTGCCCTTCTCTGACCCAGTTTTCTCACCTGTAAATTGGGAATAATGCCTGGCCTCCCCAGAGTGGGAAGACTGTTTCCTCTGGACACCTAGTGGGCAGGCACTGGACCCAGTGCCCAGAGAAAGCAATGAGGCTGCCAGTCACCTGACCCAGCCGAGCCCAGCCCTGTGGCTTCCCTGCCCCACCTCCTTGCACCCTCTCATCACATCTACATCACGATCTTGGTTGTAAGAATTTAGTTGCTCATTGCCATGGTCGGCCAGAAGAGCAAGCACATCTGTTTTGGAAGAAGTCAGAATGCTTCTCAGGAATAAGAACTGCAAGGTATGGACGTATTACTAGGAGGGACCAGTTCTTGGACACGTCAGGAGGCCACTATGCTTGGCAGGGGGTCCGTGAAAAAGAGAAAGATCCTCAGTGAAGAGGACTGATGGTGGCTGCAATGACAGACTTAACCTCTCAGTGGTTGGGAAGACGGTGCAGAAGCGGGCAGGATTTTCTTTAATGTATGAGGTTGCTGGGAATCAGGAATGCCTTGCAGGCACCTAACAGCAATAAGTAAGGATAGCAGAACTGATGACTTCGAGTTGTGCTGGAGAAGAGAGCTGACCATCCATGGACTGCCAAAGGACAAAGAAGATATGTCTTGGAGAAGGTGCAGCCAGAGTGCTCCTTGGAGGCAAAGATGGAGGATGTTAGCTGCGCTGCAATCGCAAAGGCATATGGTTTGAAGCCACCAATTACTCTGTTGGAGAAGGAGAGGCAACCTCCTCCTGTGGCGGGCTTTGTGTCTACTACTTGGTCGTGTAGCTATTCCTTGTGAAGGGATATCGTGCTTAGAAAGGTCAGTGAAGGAGAGGATTAACACAGTGACTGCAGCAATGGACTCTAGTATGTCAGAGATGATGAGGATGGCACAGGGTAGGACAGGGTTCAGGTCGGCTGTTCATAGGGTTGCTATGAGCTGTATTTGATGGCACCTAACTACAACAACAACGTGACAACTTCATGTGGACAGAAGGTGACTCAGCCTGGCCATGCGCCGTCCTGACCAACACTGGTGTCCTTTGTCCATTGCTGCAGCCTCTACCTGGAATGGCTCCCAACAGAGGGGCTTCACAGGCCAGCATTTTCTTGGCCAACACTCCTGTATCCGTAAGCTCGGTGGCCTCACCTGTAGACAGCTACATTGCTAAGGCAAAAGCTTGAACCTCTGCTGGTTCAGATCCACTGGTGCCTCAGAGGCATAGAAGGGCAATCTACCATGCGATGGACGGCCTTGGACACCTGCCGGAGGGTCAGCGGAGTCGGTGATGACTGGACAGCAATGACACAGAGTGTGCAGACATGGACCTGAATGGCGCTTGGCCTGTCGGAAGCACCCCGGGACTGTTACTTTTACCATCACTACTGCCACCACTCACCCCAAGGCCTGATGTCCCAGACACCACTCTCACCCACCAGTCAGTTGGCACCCCGGGTCCCCAGCTCTCTTTTCTCCTCAGGTGGCTCGCTGGCATGAACCTGTGGGTGGGGGCGACCTGTGCGGTGCCCCCCAGTGCCCGAGGCCAGAGGGTGAAGGCTGCGGTGGCCACCTTTGAAGCTTGCCCGGGCTGGACGGCCAGGAAGGCCAAGTGGATGCCAGCACGCCGGCCCAGAGCCAGCAGGGCCCCCAGCAACGAGGGACACTGAGGAGCGCACCAGGTTGGCACAGTGGCTGGGGGCTCGAGGAGGGGAGCAGGTCCAGTTCCCAAAGCTAGTAGGGGTCTGACCTCCCTGGACTCACGTGGTCCCCAAGCCAGGCAATGTGCCGGCCACGTGCTTGTCCCTTCCCCTCACCACTTCCTCTGGGGAAGGGGCTGGGCAGGCTTGGAAGGCAATGACTAGGTGCTGTTTCATCCCACCATCTCAGGGAGCCCTGAGGGCAACTGCCTGCTAACTCAAAGGTCAGCAGTTCAAATCCCCAGTGGCTCCACTGCAGCACCCTGCTTCCCTGGAGGTTTGCGGCCTGGGGAACCTGGAGGGTGGGCTCCACTCTGTGTGGTTGCTGAGAATGGACTTGCTTCATTGTGAGGAGTGGTCACAAAGATCAGGCTCACTCGGGTCACTGTTGCCATCCTGACCACAGGGTCCAGGTATGCCAGCCCTGCCCCCCTCACGCCTCAGCTGCCCCTGGACCGTCCCATCATCCCTTGGATTCCATTCCCAGCCTGAGTCCTCAGTTTTAGCCACACCACCTCTTGCCCACTGACCCAAGCTCCCCAGAGCAACAGAGAGGAGTGGAGTGGGGTCCAGGTGCCACTCAGTGTGGAAATTACTGCTGTGGGAGCTGGCCCTGTGGGTCTTGTTTGGTGCCCCCACTCCTCCCAGCATATGGCATGGTGGCTACAGCTGGAATCAGGCCCATTCAGAATGCCCATGGCACAGATGTCCAAGGCCATGAGCTCTCGCCTTGGTGGAAGAATGTAGTTTCCTCCCACGAATACGGTGGAATCTCAAGGCCTGGATCTTCAGGGTCACACGGATGGGGCCTGGCCAGGCCTGCCCGCCCTGATGAAGACTGGAGCTGAGGCCCACTGCCCCGAGACCCCAACACCTGACTAGAGGGAGTGCTTCATGTGGCATGAGATGAACTAAAGCCAGTGGGAACACTCAGCATTAAGGCCACAATCATGACTGTAAACTTATCAACCTTACAGCCTGGTTTCTCACCTGTTAAATGAGGCGAGGCCATGTCTCCGTCCCACAGTGCGACTATGAGGATGGAACGAGCCATCTTCGTATATTCCTAACCTAGGGCCTGGCTTACTGAGAGATGCAGTGAGCAAAATCCAGGAAGCATCAAAGCAGTTGGAGGGAATAGTCACTGCTCAAAACAAAACTGGTCCAAGAACACAGGCCATTCAGTGTCTGGAGGACTGGTTTGAGGCCAGCTGTTGCTGAAAGGTCAGCAGCTCAAACCCACTAGCTGCACCGTAGGAGGATGTGGCAGCCTGTTTGCATGAAGAGGTGTATCTTAGAAATACGAGGCAGGTCTCTCCTACAGGGCTGTGGTGACTCAGAATCGACAGGTCCAGTTAACACTCATTCACCTCTGCATCTGTCTTACCTGGTGAGCAGTCAGGTACTCTGGGGAGGCCAGCCCAGTGCGGAGTGCAGCCAGCCTGGTCCTCTGCCCTGCTTGTGTGTTCCTGGCATCTCTGTCACAGAGCAAATCAACAAAGAACCAAGGGCCACGATGGACCATGAGCCCTTTACTCAGCAGCCCCTTCAGCCAGGACTGCAGAGGGTTTCCTGAGTGGGCACATCCCTGAGCCAAGGAGGATGCTGTCAACAGGGGACAGAGCCCAAGGTCTGCCAGGCATTGTCCTCCCGGCATCCAGCCTCCAGAGAAGTGGATGCCATCACCCTGGTACCCAGGTCCTGCAACTGGAATGTGACATGCGGTCTTGGCCCTGCTCATTGTGGAAACAGTCTCTACCTCCGTTCTCTGGTCCAGGTCCTGTCCTGTGTGGAACTGCCCGGTGCTTGTGGCAAAGGAACAAGTGTGCCCCTTCTCTGAACCTGCTCTGGTTGATGGGGCAGGTGGAGGCCCAGAACATGCCACCATGGCTGTGTGGGCAGCTCTGCTCTGAGGGATGCCAGTCTAACTGTGGCTCCAGAGTGACTGAGGGCCAGGCCGTGAACCAGCACTGAGTGTGGGCTGACGGGGTGAGCGTCTACAACGTGCTCAGAGAGGAGCAATTTTTATTGAGCAACTGGGGGGAAACAGTCCTTCCCATTCTCACTCAGGACACCGGCAATAAAGGACACAAGCTCCCTCGGACCACCTCCAGTAGACAGAGGACTGTCGCAGGGCCCCTCCTGCCCCGTGGCCGTAGTGTGGGAGGTGAAGTGAGATGCGTCCTGCCCAGTCAGTCCAAGCAGGCGGGCTCAGAGCTAGTCATCTCCTTGGAACATGTGGACTCCGGCTCCCCCCAGTGAGCGGTTCACCTGCGTCCCAGCACAGCAGCGAGAACACCATGCCCCACTGCGGGTGTCTCCCGTACATTTCTCCAGGCCCCGCCCCAGGTCCTCCTGGGAAATGGGATCAGTGCCCGAGAGTCTTGAGGTCACTGCACCCCACTCCTCTGGTGCCTGTGGAGTGGGCTGCCTGTGTGGCTCTGGGCACCCCCAGGATGCACAGACAGGCCATTTCCTGCTCAGTTAGCACTGCAGGCGTGGGGTGGGGCTGCACTGACCCCCTTAATTGTCATCCAAGCAGCCTCCTCTCCTAGAGCAGAGCTGCGCTGCCTTCATTTACACGACTGCACAGGGCCCGGTCCTGTCTCGGTGTGAACAGGCCCCCAGGGCTCAGGCCCCCGGCAGTGGGGCAGGAGCCACTGAGACCCCTCAGGCAGCCCAGCATGTGGTCTCTCCCACAGAGAGGTGGAGGCCAGAGTGTGGCCCTCCAGGGCCTGGCTTGGCACCCTTGGGGTGTCTGTGGGAAGAGGCAGTCTCCCAGCTCCAGTGGTGGAAGGTGGTGGCAGTGGAGGGGCCCTGCACGCCCCTGGCTGGTGGCAGTCAGTCAGTCTCCTGCTTGATGTCCTGGACAGGGACAGGCAGCTCAGGACGTGCGGGCTTCCCGGGCACGGCTCTGTCTGGGTGTTCCTCCTTCACCCGCACTGAGATGACTGCAAGAGACAGGGTGGAGACTGAGGGAACGGGGAGGAGAGTGGGGGACCGGGGAGGAGAGTGGGGGACCGGGGTGGAGACTGAGGGAACGGGGAGGAGAGTGGGGGGACGGGGAGGAGAGTGGGGGGACGGGGAGGAGAGTGGGGGGACGGGGAGGAGAGTGGGGGGACGGGGAGGAGAGTGGGGGGACGGGGAGGAGAGTGGGGGGACGGGGAGGAGAGTGGGGGGACAGGGAGGAGAGTGGGGGGATGGGGCAGGTGAGGGAGCTAGGAAAGAGCGTGAAGGCCAGGAAGGAGCATGGGGGACGGGAAAGAGTGTAGGGTATGGAGGGAATAGTTGGGGGACAGGGCAGAGAGTAGGGGTGCAGAGCATGGGGACAGGGTGGAGAGTGGGGGGCTGGGAAAAGTGTGGGGGGACGGAGCAAAGCATGGGGTGATGAGGCAGAGAGTGAGAGACAGGGCACAGAGCGGGCAGACAGTGGAATGTAGTAACAGGGAGAATAAGGGGATGAAGAGGAGGGTGGGAGGATGGAGGAGAGTGGGAGAGCAGGGAGGAGAGTAGGGGGACAAGGAGGAGAGTGGGGGAGCAGGGAGGAGAGCAGGGGGATAAGGAGTTGGGGTGGTCCGGGAGGAGTGGAACGGCCCTGAGGAGAATGGAGTAAGAAGGGGCCAGGACACTCAGATGCTGACTCTCTGTGCCCAGGTGGGGAAACGGGGGCCGGCCCTGAGCCCTGGCACTCCTGCCTCTGTCCACCTCATCCCTCGGGCAGCACTGACCCTCTTCAGGTTCCACTGATGCCTTCGCAGCAGCCTGCATGTCGTCCTCCAACAGGGGCTTCTTGGAGCCCTGTCTCAGGGGCCGGGTCCTGGTGGGCGTTATTCTCTTCCCTTTGAATAAAAATGGAATCGAAGCTGGCATTAGGGTGGTAGGAGACCTGGGGTCTGCTCAGCGGCTGTCTCAGGGGAGAGATGGAGGCGGCCTCCCAGCTCTGGGCCCAGAGGACTGATCCAGCAGGGCCTGCTGCTGGCACGTCACACAACAGGAACTTGCCCAGGACTGCCGCTTCCTCTCCCATCCTCCTTCCTGTCCCACCAGAGGGGAGATGCCGCCCACCACCCCTCGTCCCCACCTTGCAGTGTCACTGAGCACACCTGGCCATCACAGGAGCCTGTGACCCTGGGAACGACACTGGCCCTCCCACACTGACAGCACCCCGTCCCCAGCTGCTGCCTCTTCCCCAGCACTGCGGTGGGTGCCACAGGTGGGCAGACCCTGACTTAACACCTGAGTCTCCAGGGACACAAGTGAAGGGAGGTGGGGCCCGAGAGCTAATGGGGGTGACAGGGAAGAATGAGGCGAGTTCCCGCAGTGCGGCACGCCTTGGGGATGTCCTGGAGGGCTGATCACATGCCCTGGCCAGGCCCCGCAGTAGCCTGGCTACACTTAGTCACTTACTTTTCTTCCCAAACTGTTTCTTTCTCTTTCTCGTGGCCTCTTTGGCCTTGAGTGGCGTGTTAGGCTCTGCTGATGAACAACAAGAACAGACAAAATCAGCACTTTGGCAAGTCACAGGGTGACAGGGCAACCTCAGACCTGCCCCTCCTCACAGCCTCCGGAGCACACAGGATACCCCAAGCAGGGAAGGCTGACTGGGCACTGAGCCTGGGCAAGGTGGGGCTGGAAGACCCCTGTCCCTTCTTGCCCCCTTGTCACCAGGACTGCTCAGCCTGGGTAGTTTCCTGGGTACACAAGGCCATGAGCGTATGACAGAGTAGACAAGACCATGGAGGGTGCTCTGCAGGCCCGAGGGAGGGGAGGCCGAGGATTTGGAGCATTGCGGGCAGAGGTTGGGGGGTGATGGCAGAAGAAAGAAGAGAACAAAGTCCCGAGCCGCTCAGGCCAGCGAGACCCCCGACCTGTGGCCACGGGCGGCTGGAGCTGGTAACCAGTGAGCTCACACCAGCCCACGGGGTAGATGTCCGGGGACTCGCAGTCCACCCACTGGTCGTACTCGCTGTCCCAGCCGTCGAAGTGGATGCTGAGCAGTCGGTGCACCACCTGCTTCACGGTGGCCACACAGATGAGCCGCGGCTCCATCAGGTCTACGGCCTCCAGCTTCATGCCCACCTGGAAGCCGTGGTTGGGGCAGTCCTGGAGGGAAGGCGGCAGTTGCCCAGCTGGCCAGCCCCTGGCCTGGCCAGCAGAATCGGGGGAAGGTCCTACACGTGACATAGTTTGGGACCCGAATCCCATCTCTGGAAGGAGCTGCTCTCAGCAGAGACTCAGGACAGAAGAGGCTAGAAGTTGAGCCGGGACAGCCAGCAGGGCCACCACGAAGGGCTCCCAGTCCCTCGCTGCCCCCGCCCCTCACCATGTTGAAGAGTCTTGATGGTGCCGCTTTTGACTTGGTCTTTTCCAGGTAGGCCTCCCAGCTGAAAGTCTCTGCTTCATACCCTGAGGGAACACAGGTTCACATGACGAGATGGGACGGAGGACAGGGACAGGCCAGAGGAAGGACTCAACTGCCAAGAGGCCACTCCCAGACCTGCACTGCCTCAGACAATAGTCCCTGGTGGTCTAGGTTCTTTACAGCTCACCAAGCCACACACTGATGGGGCTGAGTCAGGCCCTGCAGCCTAAGGGCAGCAGTGGCTCAGCAACACCTCCTGGACATACCTCAGAGTCCATGCCCTGGGGATCTGGAGGCCAGGTGTCTGGATCAGGGACCTTGACCTGCCCCTCCCTCCCTCTGTTGAACAGCAGATGTGAACCTTGTCCTACCCTGTGCCACCCTTACCATTTCTGGCACACTCGAGCCCACTGCAGCACTGTGTCAATCCTCCTGGTTGAGGGTCTTCCTCTCTTTTGCCAACCCTCCACCTTCCCAAGTATGATGTCTCTCCAAGGACTAGCCTCTCTTAGTAACGTGTCTCACAGGGCTACCACTAAAGGGCCTCTTCTGTCTTACCTTTTGGGGGTGTGAGCTCAATGTTATTCTTCTGGCAGAAGGTGGCTGGGAAGATGGCGTGGGAGGAAGCGTGGTAACAGAACCAGTCTGAGCCATCTGTCGAGGGCCCCCCATCCACAGAGATCATCAGGTAGCCATCTAGGAGGACCTGTGGGGATGTGGGCAGATGGTGAACATCCAGCCATTCAACTGCACCCCTGCCCAGTGGTGTGGACATAATGCGGGTGGGTGACAACACACAGATGGCTCTGCCTGGACAGGGCCAGAGCCTTCCCTGAGAACTTCTGAACTCGCATCAGGCCAGCAGTGTGTCCCCAGCAGTGACCAAATGGCCTGGCGTGGGCAGGACACACGAGCAATGTCCCCAAGGCGGCTGAGGGTGGCTGTTTGCTCTCAGGCTGCAGGGATTACGGAGGTGTTCTGTCTGAGAGGTCAGGCTGGTCCACAGGGGCTAACAGGGAAGGGCACGCTGGCAGGACAGCCCCCTCTGAGGTGGAGCCACGAGACACAGGCCTAGGCTTCTTGTTCTCTAAGGATGTGGTCATCACGCTCCAGACCTGGCCGGGGTGCACTCTGAACAAGCCATGATGCACACCCTCCTGAGCACCAGGGGACCCTGCACCCACAGCCCGTGTGTCAGCCAGCAGTCTGCCGCGTGCACGCCCTGGTTCAGGCCCAAGCCCAGCTCACCTTACAGATGGTCGCCACGCAGATGTTGCCCAGATTCAGGGGGTCAATGGCCTCCAGCTTCATCCCTTCCTCAAACCAGCCTCCTTCAGTGTAGACAGCTCGTACCTGGGGAATGGGAACTGGGGAGTCAGGGGCTGGGAAGAACTGGCCCAGGGAAGAGCTGTGTCCATGGCTGGCAGGCACCTATGGCCTAGGGGAGAACTACCCAGGGGCCCCAGCTCACCTTCTTGAAGAGGTAAGGGACGGCATCACAGTATATCTTCCGGAAGGTGGGATGGTGGGCCATGTCGCTGCGCCTCTCTATGGGGGTGAGGGAAGGGAAGAGAGAAGGGAACTGACTGCAGTGCAGAGTCATTCAGGGGTCAGCTCTCCACAACGGGCCCTCTGTACTGAGGGCCCCTGCCCACAGACAGTCCAGCCCAGCAGATGCCCTCCGGGTGCCCCAGACTTGCCCTGTGATTTTTATCTTTACCAACTCAGTGACCCTGGCCAAGACACTTAATCACCTTGGGCCTGAGTGTCCCTGTTCACCTAAGGGCTTTGCTGGGAGGGCAGAAACATCCTATCCAATTCTTGGGAGCAAGAGCCTTGGGCCAGGGCTCAGGGAGCTCTGCTCACCTGACATTTTGATGCCATGGCCGACACGTCGGGACCAGCCCACGGGGTGGATCAGGGGGCTCCACATGTGACACCAGAAGTCATCATCACTGTCCCCATCCTCATACAGGAGCCGCAGGCGGCCCCCGATGACTGTGTCCACCACGGCCATGCGGGTACGGGACACCTGGGTCTTGTCCACCACCTCTAGCCGCATGCCCTGCCGGAAGGGGTACTTCATGCTCTCTGCCATCTGAAATGACATCCACACACACTGTTGACCGCGGGGAATCCTAAGTACCCAGGGGACAGCAAATACGTGGGAGATCTTCCCAGAGAGAAATGGAGCCCCCTCCCTGCCCAGTTCAAGGCTAGCCTTGTTCCTAAGATGACATCAAGGGTAAAATGGAACTTAACAAGGTGGGCACTACTTGTCACAGCCAAAATACCACGGAACTGAGGTGACTGAGAGCCTGTACAAGCTGTCTAGAGTCACAGACCACCAGAGAGGAGCAGGGTCCCCAGCAGGCTCTGGTGCCCAGCCCCACGCTCCTTCCAGGCTCTGCACTCCACTCCCATGGCCTCCAAACCCCCGGGCCTCTGGCAGCCTCTGCCAATGCCCAAGTATATGCACCACCCTGTCTCTGGGCTACTGCCCCAACACCTCAGGAGCAGGCCTGGAGGGGAAGGGGGTTTTCTGTTTGCTGACTTCAAGGTCGGGGCCTAGTGAGCTTTGGGGGAGCCTGTCTAGCCCACAGTGGGGACAGGCTACTGTCTACCTGAGAACACCAGGGAGTGTCTCAGAGGCCACAAATGTTGGACAGGAACAGCGGAGTCCTACACCAGACAGAAGGAGCCCTGGTGCAGGCTGACTGGCTCTTCCACCAGCATGAAGCTCCTTTGCGGTAAGCAGAAAAGCAGTTCCACGGTGCCCTCATGACCTGCAGCACCACTGCCATCTAAGACAGGGGCCAGTTCTGGAACACGTTCACAGTATCTTCCATCAACAAATCTGTCCACTGTACAAACCACTACAAGGAAGACAGCAAGTGCGTGGCACCCAGTAAGTTCAAATAAGAGAAAAACCATTTCCAGTCTGGAGAAGCACTAGGCAGTGCTCCCAAGAGGAGCTTGACACTCTTTCTATCTTAAAGGTTGGGTTTCCCAGTCCCTCACTAGGCTAAGGTTTGTGAACTTGTCACCTGGTGTCCAGTGTCCCAGGTGACAGGATTCAGTTTCTATTCCATCCTCAATCACCACTGGTGGCTTCCAAACCCCCACATCCTATCCATCAAGGTTCCATTCAAACTCCAGAGGCTCCATGAAGCATCTGAAGCCACAATGGCAAGTTCCTGTGATTCCATCCAGGACACAGAGGACCTCACACTTGTACAGGTGTGGCCAGGGGCATCCAAGCCTCAGGAGCGGTACACGGACGTGGGTGAGAAAACATTTCCACTGTCTGCCGTTCAGATCCCTTTGCATTTTTACATCTGTACTTGTTAACTTCCAAAGTATGACTTGTAAAGAACCACATGATTTTTAATGAAAATAAGAAAGGGACAAAACAAATGGACATTCCCAAGTTTCAGAAATGTGGCTGTCACATGCAGATGTCCCTTGCTCTGCTGAATGGAGATTCCCAGACAGCAGGGAGTGCAGTCTGAATCTCTCATTGTGACACAGACAGAACTACAAATGGGGGAAGGAGAGCACTGGGTACGAGTGGAGGAAAGGACGATAGCTACTGCCTCCAGGAACAACCTTGTCCGGAGACCCGAGGAACTGTGGGCCCTGCCACCACCACTAAACACTGTGATTCTACAGAAGAATTCACTTCAAAAGTGAGTTTAAAATTCTCAAGGACTCTAGACTCTCTGGAGCCATAAAAGATTGAAGAACCTCAGAACGACTGCCCTGAGATCATATTTAAACATAAGTGAAAGAATATCCTCTGAAGTCTTCTTACACTCACACTACCATCCAGCTTAGCTAGGAAAGCCTGTGCTGCCTAGGGCATTCACTGGGTATTCTCTTTTAAGGTCTATCTTTACAGACAAACTGACAACAATAACCAGAAAGATCAAACAGGAGACTTAGAGGATTAGTGGAGGAGGACCAACTCCGACGAGGAGGGTGAGAATGATCACACAACTCAGAGAATGTGACCAGTAATATGGGATTTTATATGAAGAAACTGTTGAAATGATGCATGTTCTGGCATGGATGTCCTCAACAATAACCAAAAAGGAAATAATGATATACGGAGCTCTGTGGTGTGTAGCGTGCTGCACTGTTAACTGCCAGGCTGGTGGCTCTCATCCCCCATCTGCTGGGTGGGAATCTCTTCCCATCAAGAGTTACATCATCACAAACCTGATGGAGGGTCTCGATGAGCCAGACTTGACTCAAAGGCACTGGGGGCACAATAGAGAGCCCTGGGGACACAGTGCTGAGCTATGACCTGAAAGGCTGGCGGTTCAACCACACCAGCTGCTCCACTGGAGAAAGGCAGGCAGTCTCCTTCCGGGGAGGGGGAGAGACACACACACAGGACTGAGCCTCTGAAACCCCATGGAAGGCTGCCATGGGCCATGGGCAAGCACTGATCTAAAGGCAGTGGGTTTAGTTTTTGGGAAATGACTAAGGATGACAGAAGGAGAATCGATGCCTTTGAGTTGTGCTGCAGAAGATATCCGAACATACCACAGACTACCAAGAGAACACACAGGTCTGTGCTGAAGAGGATGAAATCAGGGTGCTCTACGGAGGTAAAGATTTAAAAAGTTCATCTCACATATTTTGGGCATGTGGTCAGAAGGGATCAGTCCTTAGAGGAGGACATAATGCTTGGAAGGGTGGAGGGACAGCACAGGAGAGGAAGACCCCGGATGAGATGGACTGACACAGAGACAGTGGCAATGGGGTCAGGAGTGTCATAGACATTGCAGTTGTCTCAGGGTAGGGCAGGGTTCAGAGCCATTGTTCTCAGGGCTTCTGTGAGTTGTAGTCTACTCAATGGCACATAAAAACAAGAAGTAGTGCTTAATTCAATCCACTGAATGAAAACTGCTAGGCAAGGCCGGAAGCACACAGCAACAAGACTCGAGCTGCTGGAATGGGAGGCCAAGCAGCAGAAACAACAGATGGCAACCATCCAGTGGCAGAGCCCGAACTAGCCTGGGACATGTTAAAGCACTGAAGGTGGAGTGTTGGGACAAAAAAGATCTAAATAGGGATGGTAGATGGAAATGTAAGACACTAACTACACAGCTTCTGGACGCTAACTCGGGGGACCCGGGCAATTCTAGGTCTGGTGGTGGTTTCTCAGATACAACACAGAAAGCAAGAGCTGGATTTCCTTAAAGGAAAAACTTCTGTAATGTGAAAGACAGTGCTAATGAAAGAAAACCACAGACTGAGAGAAAATATATGAAAAATATCAGGTAAAGGGCTTGTATCTAATCAACACAAATAAAATTTAGAACTCAAGAAGAAAAGCACCAAATGAGAAAATGGGCAAAGATACGGACAGACACCTCACTAAGAGTCATATACGGCAAATGAACACATTTAGAAATCAAAAGCTCGAAATCCTATGTCCTCAGAGAATTGCAAATGAAAAAACCAGCAAATCAAACAACTACAATATATTCTGTTGTTGACTTGACTCTTAGGGACCTCATGTTACCAATCCTGTGTCATCCTCCCAATTTCTGCTGTGTTTAAGCCCACTGGTATAGTCAATGTCAATCCATCCTACTGAAGGTCTTGCTCTCGCTCACTGACTTTTCCGACCAGAGTGTCTTCCCAAGCACTGGCCCTCCTGATACCAAGAACAAGTCTCACCATCCTCATCTCTAAGGAGTACACTGGCTGTACTCATCCTAAGACAGACTTGCTTGGGTTTTTGGCAGTCTGTGGGCTGCGTGACTCTAAAGCACCCATTCTCTTCAGTCTTCAATTTTCACATGCATGTGAAACAAGTGAAACTACCATGGCTTACGGCAAGCATATTTGAACCTTAAAGTGACATCATTCTTCTTTTTCTGTAACACTTTAAAGAGGTCCTTCTCAGCCAAATCTGATTTCTTGACTGCTGCTTCCATAGGTGTATCTCAGGAAAATGAAATCCTTGACGACTTCAATCTTTTCTCCATTTATCATCATACTGCTGATTGGTTCAGTTGTGAGGAATTTGTTCTTGATGTGGAGATGTAACCCATAGTGATGTCTTTGATCTTCTCAAGTCCTTTTCACTTTCAACAAACAAGACTGTGTAATTTGCAGAACACAGGTTGCTGATGAGTCTCCCTCCAATCCTGAGGCCACATTCTTCTTCATACAGTCCTGCTTCTTGAATAAGAGACTGAACAGGTAGTGGAAGGATACAAGCCTGACGCACACCCTTCCTAATTTTAATCCATCAAAAGTTGGCATGGATGTGAAGCAATAGGAACTGTTATCCATTGCTAGGGGGTATGCAAAATGATACAGCCTCTCTAGAAGGGGAGTCTGACAGTCTCTAAAATATATTACGCAATTCAGTAACTGTACTCCTAGATTTAACCTAAATGAGATGAAAACCTACACCCACGCAAAGACCTGCATGTGAATGTTCATGGGAGCTTTACTCACAACTGCCAAGACTGAAACCAACCAATGAAGATGTCCTTCAACAGATGAAGAAAAAACCGTGGTGTCATCAGGTGCTGTTCCCATTGAGTTGACTAGAACCTGCAGCAGCCCTAAGGCAACAGATCTGTCCCTTCCTCCACCCTGTGCCACCGTCCCCGCCCTGTACCATCCTCCCCGCCCCGCCCTGTGCCATCCTCATGATCTGTGTCTTGCTTGAGGCCACTGTTACAATCACTGTTGTAAATTCATCCTTGAGGGCTGTCCTCTTTTTCATGGGCTCTCTACCATTCCCAGCATGATGTGTTCCCAATGACTGGCTTCTCTGGACAACATGCCCAGACCATGTGAGAGGAAGCTTCACCACCTTGCCTCTAAGAGCACACTGGCTGGTTTGTTGTTTTGAAGTCCACAGGACAGCCAACTCGTAATGATGGGCACAGGACGTGAAGCATTTTGAGAACCTGCAGGATGTACACCTCAGAGTGGATCGCATGTGAACTAGGGCCTTTCAGTCAGTTCTAACTCATGGCATCCCCACATGCTGCAGAGCACGGCTGGTCTACAGGGCTTCCTGGACTGCAATCCTTTAACAAGGCCTGAAAAACAGTCTATTAATAAAATAAAAAGCAGAGGGGAAAGACACCGCATAGCTCACTGCCAGACCTTGATATGGAAATCCACAGGGAGGGTCCTGGAGCCCACCAAGCGTTTCATGAGGTAGCCCTTCCAGTCAGTGAACTTGGCGTGGATGGCTGCAGAGAAAGGAGTGGAGGGAGCCCTGGTTACAGACTGAGTCATCTCTGGTTACTTCTGTTTAATGTTCCCACTGATGATGGGCAGCCGGAGCCCACCCAGGGATCAGGAGAGGGGGCTTTTCAGGTCTGCAGACCACTTCACCTTAACAAGCTGGACTTCATCACCTGGACCTGCCTCTGGGGAGGGAAAAGCTCAAAGCAAGGAAACAGGTAGAATTTTTTCTAGTCTACCACAGAAGGACCCTTTCTACAAATGGGAACCAGGGAAGGGCCCGATCTCATCAACTTACTCCTCGGGGGGACCAGGATCTTGCTGTTGATGGCACACCAGCCAATGGGGTGGATGTCTACAGTTCCCAGGTTGCACCAGAAGTCATGACTGGCGTCATTTTCAAAGCCCTCATACCGAAGCAGCACCCGATACCCTGAAAGCAAGGAAAGGGGCACAGGTGAGGGGAGGGGGCGAGGCACTGCACATTCTAAGGCCTTCCCTCTTCTCTCGCCTGAACTGGACTTCCCACTGCCCATCCCAAGGATTCCTTCCGGTGACTGCATGCCTATTTTCCACAGCATCTGAGCCATGCACTTACCTGAAAAGAATTAAGGCCTATGGTGGGAACCAGTAGCTTGATTACCCCTGGAATAAGCTTCAATGTGCCAAGGTAGACAGCGTAAGAGAATCCTCACACAGGGACAGAACCTCCATCAGGGTTTTTTGCTGTCATCCCATTTCTGCCCACTGGACTGGAGGAGGTACCGTATTTCGTGCAGACACACCCTGTCCTCCCCTGGCCAGAGGCTCACCCGCTGTCTGGATGACTGAGGCGATCCAATACACCCGGCTGGGGAGCACAGCGTCGCTGTTGAGCACCTCCACCTTCATTCCCTTTATCACGTCCTCCCACTGGTCATAGAGCGGGACCTGCAGGAGATGTTCATGAGGGGAGCACCGCCAGGGCGGCTCAGACGGACCCGAGTTCTGTTCTACTGACGATGTGGGTAAATGTCAACCATGGGGGAGCCTCCATTCACGTTCACCACATTCTTAACACTGGGTTTGCAGAAGGTGTAGCCTACATCAGGCTCCATTACTCCACTTTCAGTCTGACCTAAGTTCAGACATCATGGAGTTCTTTATCTTAGTTTCCCAGTGCCCAGGAGCTATCAAACCGTCTCTGTGATGCTTAACCAGGTCCCAGCAAGACAGGGAGGGGCAGCCTGCCCCTAGGAACAAAGGAGCTAGAAGGAAATGATATAGAGAGATGTGCATACAAAGAAGTAGGGAACTTGCCTGGGCAATTACTGTGAACAGCCAATCAGGGCACTATCTCAAGGTAAAGGTCTGGGACCTGGCGACTATGACTCAGGTGGCATGATCATTAGTCATCCCCTGACCATTGAGATAATCCAAACTTCCCAACCACGGCTTCCTAACCTGGAGGAAGTCTGTCTTTGGTGTTAAATATTAATAAAAGGGTCACTATAGCACATATTGCTATGCATCAGAGAGCTGGACAAGGACTACAGATGACAAAAGGAGAATTGATGCCTTTGAGCTGTGGTGCTGGAGAAGAGTACTGACTGCTAAGAGAATAAACAGGTTCATCCTAGAGAGGGTGAAACCAGGCCACTCCTTAGAGGCAAGGATTCTGAAGATTTGTCTGACATACTTTGGACATGTTGTAAGCAGGGACCAGTTCTTGGAGAGGAACGTCATGCTCGGGAGGGTAGAGAGAGTGCAAGAGAGAAAGACCCTGGATGAGATGGACTGACTGACTCATTGACTGGGGTAATGGGGGTAGGGATGTCAGAGACAGCAAGATTGGCATGGGATAGAGCAGGGTTTAGGGCTATTGTACATAGGGTCGCTATGAGTCACAGGCAACTTGATGACATATAACAACAACAATAACATAAGTGTGTATTTTAATCTGGGGGCTTTTCCTCTGAAGCACAGCCTCAATTCTATTGTAAAAACTAACATTTTCTAGTGCTTTCCACGTTCCAGGCACTGCTCTGGGCACAATTATCATGCTCACACCTTTTTGGTCAGTGTCACTGTTCCCTCATTCTACAAGGTCACCAAGCTACCCTCACAGAACTGCCTACCCACACACATTCCTGGCCTGCTTTCCAATTCTACTAAAGTGCCTGACTCAGACCATAGTGTTTTCAATTGTCTTGTTTGCATGTAAAAGCTGAACAATAGGAAGTCCAGAGTCAATGTGCTTTTGAATTACGGCATTGGTGAAGAATGCTGAATAAACCTTGGACTACCAGGAGAACAATCCGTCTTGGAAGAAGTACAACTGAATGTGCCTTGGATGTGAAGGAGTGTGACTTTGTCTCACATGCTCTGGACTATTATCAGAAGCCAGTATAGCAGGTGGTCAGCAAAAAAGAGGAAGATTCTCAACAAGACAGGCTGGCCACAACTGAGCTTAAACAGCGACAATCCTGAGAATGGAGCAGGAATGGCCTGTGCTGTGTTCTATACTGAGGGTCGCTGGTGGTTGGAACAGACTCCAGAGCACAAGCAACAGTAAAAGCCCCTCTCTGGCAACTGGAAAGTTAGGCTTTGTCTTCCCAATTTCATCCCCACCTTGTGGTCAATGAGTAACTAGATTCCCCTTCTGTAAGTTACCTTGTCATGCTCAGACCAGTTAAAGCCAGTCAGGTATCTCACCCTATTACCCTAACTATGAAGGTGGGTTCTTCAGAATCGAGAACTCCTTTTAAAAAAAAAATACGGAACGTTTCACGAATTTGCGTGTCATCCTTGCGCAGGGGCCATACTAATCTTCTCTGTATCGTTCCAGTTTTAGTATATGTGCTGCCGAAGCGAGCACAAGAACTCCTTTTGCAATGGCAAGTAAACACAGAAGGTTCTTGGCAGAATACATTCAATCTACGTGCACTGAATAAAAGCAGGTAGGATGGAACACCCCCATAGGAAAATGCTTGGCCTTTTTGGGGAATTCAGAAGGGCTAGTGTAGAAGGGAGGAAGCTCTGGTGGCCCAGTGGTTAAGAAGCTGCACTGCCAACCCTAAGGCATGCAGTTCAAATCCACCAGCTACTCTGAGGAAGAAAGATGCATAATCTCCTCCTGAGCAATTTATAGCCTCTGAAAACTCACTGGGGGGCCAACTATGCACAGATTCTGACTCAACAGTGTACACAACAGCAAGGCGGAGGGGAGTTTTCACAACTTTAAGGCCATCCCCAAATTAAGTACAGTTCAAAAAGGAGAGGCCAGATTCTTGATTCAGAGGCCTCCTCCTGGGCTTCTAAGAGTTTAAGAAACTGGTGTGAAAGATCAAGCAAGATCCCTGCCTGGACACCTCTCACCCCTGCGAATGCCCAAGGTTGTTCTAAAACACAAAGTCCTTCCACCAGGAACTGAGGAGGCATCTGGAGAAGTGACCCTGAAGGTATCTCTGCCTGTCAGGGAGGGGTTAAAAGTCCAGCCCAGTACATAAGTTTCAGGCTTTCAGGGAAAAGCCCTCAGTAAGTGTTTCAGGGGTTAAGAGTTCTGGAAAAATGACTCACAAACATAAATGGGGCAGATGCCAAAGCTGGGCTTCTGTATCCAGACCTCCTGTTGTGTAGTTGTAACTACCTCCTAACGTGAGTGGATGAACTGAACGTGGGGACCAGAAGCAGCAGCTCCCTCCCAAGTCTCCCCCCACTACACCTCCAGGAACTTACATGTTTGAAGCAGCTGACAGGAGCAGCCTTGTAACTGTGATCTTTCAGGAATTTTCCCCAGTCAAAACCTAAGACCAGTGCTGCAGAGCAGGGAGAAGAGAGTCAAGGGCAGGGTCATGCCTGCAAGGCCTGAGAAGGAGGTCCCTCCCTTCCCCCTACCCAGCCCATCCCATCCTGACTGCACACTGAGTGTGCTCCCAAACCTGCCCAACCCGTGGCATCAGAATGGTGAGCACCAATTCTAAAGACGACCAGAATCCAACAAACAGGAAACACTAGTTTTCGCCCAAAAGATGAGGTAAATAAATGCAAAGTCCCTTGGGCTTAAACTCCTCTGCTCTCCCTTGACCTTCCTTGACCAGACCAAGTCTAACCCAGTGGGAGGTGCCAATGCTCAGGTCCTGCTATCTTGCTGTGTGCCTGCTCTCACATGTTCTCTCATTCGAAATCTGTTTCCAGTGAGTCAATACTGACCAATGGGAAATCATGCACATCTCACCACACCCACCCAGGAGTGAAGATGTTTTTGTGGAGCAGTTTCTACGGCCTCAGTTTCCATTGCTCCCACCTTAGAGAAGCCACGCCAGCCCTGTTCCCTTCTCCCCATGCAGCTTCCTGCACACAGCCCCCTGCTGTCTTACCATCTTGCCCGGTGGGTGTCCCATCTGCCAGCTGTCCTGTCCCCTGTGAGTGCAGGAAGGCGCCAATCTTGGCCGACCAGGCAGCCTTGTGCAGGACTTTGGCCTTCTTGGTGGGTGGCTTTCCCTGGAGGGGAGATGAGAGGGCGTGAGCAGCCCTGTGGCTGACACTGTGGCTCTGAGTTCAGATTGCAACAATCCTGAAGACACCTGGTTCAAAGCTGCTCCAAGGGAGAAGGATGGGCGATCTCCTCCTAAGCAATTCGCTGCCTCTGGAAACCCTCTGGAGGGACAGCTATGCATTGGTCCCAACTCAGTGGTCACAACAGCAGCAGCTCTAGTTAGGGGAGCTCTTTTGGGCTTCTTTCTTCGTTTGTCAACTGTTGTTGTTAAGTACCATCACGTCAAGTATGACTTAGTGACCCTATGAACATCAGACCTGAAGCCTGCCCTCTCCTGCACCATATCCTCACCATCTCTGCCAAGTGAGCCCACTGCTGCAGTCACTGTGTCAATCCACCTCGCTGAGGGTCTTCCTTTCACTAAACTAGGGTAATGAAAACAACAATGCTTGTCACAGAGGGTGGGTCCTGTGTGGGCCACAGAGTGTCCGGGTACTAATCAGTGGAGAAGGATGGCGTGAGTGGAGCCGCAGAGCAGAAGGGCCACCTCGCATCTCCGCTTTCTCTCTTACTCTGGAGTTCTCGGGGTTACTTCACTCACATTTATTTAGCCAGTGTGCCAATAAATCTGTGAACTCTTTGAACTGGCAAGCAACACCTGGTAGAGGAATGTTCTGGAAAGATGGTCAATGGCCTGTACTAGACCTTCCAACAGATTTGCTCCCCGAGCACAGGGCTACTCCTTCAGTGTGTACCTTGTCACTTAAGCAGTGATCAGAAAGGCCAATCAACTACTTAAGAGAATGCTGGTGAGTGACATCGACCAAGTCAGTTCTGACGCACAAGTGACCCCCCGAGACAAGGCAGAACTAAGTGGCCTCTCGGGGTTTCTGGACTGTAACCTTCACAGAGGAAGATCACCAGCTCTTTGTCCTGGGAGCTGATCTGTGGGTGTGAATCTCTTGGTTAGCACCTGAGTGCATAACTGCTGCATCACCAGATCTGCTGCTGCATGCCACTGAGCGCCTTCTGACTCATGTGACCCCCTGCGACACAGAAGAACTGCCCACAAGATGTCCTGGCTTGTAATCAGTTCCAGGAGCAGACCACTGGGTCTTTTCTCCCACAGAGCCACTGGCAGGGTCCAACACCAGTGACAGCAGGGGTCCTCCATCAGACTGTCCTATTACTATTGCTGTCTGGTTGGAACCAAGTCCTAGCTGACCCTCCGAGGTTGTGAATCTAACAGGAGAGCTACCGATCGTTTGCCTCAGAGCTGCTGATGGATTCAGGCTGTCAGACAGATTCAGCCTTTGAGGACTTTGCCACCAGAACACCCCTCCCCCCCCGCCAGACAAAACTGGGGTCTCATCCTGAGTTCAGCAGCACTTTTAGTTGTGTATCTGGGTGCAAGTGACCAATTCTTGAGTACTTACAATGGAAATCTTTTTAAAGCCACCTATTTTGGGGATTCAGATAGAAGAGGGAAGGAGTACAGTCACTATTCCAAAAAAACCTGGCCAGCACAGAAGTATTTCATGAAACAACTTATGTTAAAGAGACACTGGTGATGGAGAAGGAAGTCCAAGCTGCTCTGAAGGAATTGGTGAAAAACAAGGCCCCAGGAATGGACAGAATACCAGTTGACATATTTCAACAGATACAGCCCCGGACACACTCACCAGGTTGTGCCAAAAAAACCTGGCCAAGACTAGAAGAGATTTGCATTTATTCCCATTCCAAAAAAAGGGGATCCAACAGAGTGCGGAAATTATCAAACGATATCACTAATATCACACACAAGCAAAATTCTACTGAAGATTATCCAAAAGTAACTGGAACAGTACACCGACAGAGAACTACCAAAAATAAAAGCTGTGTTTAGAAGAGGCTGTGGCACTAGGGACATCACTGCCAATGTCACATGGATCTTGGATGAAAGCAGAGAGTACCAGAGAAATATCTATCTGTGCTTCACTGACTGTAAAAGCATTTGACTGTGTGGATCACAACAAATTGTGGCCAACTTTGAAAAGAATGGGAATCCCCAAACATTTGATTGTACTCATGCAAAATCTGTACTTGGACCAAGAGGCAGTCATCAGAACAGAGCAAGGAAACACTGCATAGTTCAAAATCAGAAAAGTGTTAGGGATGTGTCCTGTCTCCATACTTTTCCAATCTGTATACAGAACAGATCATTTGAGAGGCTGGACTATATGAGGAGGAATGTGGCATCAGGATTGATGGAAGACTCATCCACAACCTGCACTATGCAGATATAACCTTACTTGAAACTGAGGAGGGCCTGAAGCATAGGGTCAAGGACTGTAGTCTACAATATGGATTAAGCTCAACATCAAGAAAATGAAGATTTTCACCACTCGGCCAATTGGCAGCATCACAATAGAAGAAGAAGAAATTGAAGTTGTTAACAATTCCATAATCAACACTCTTGGAACCAGCAGCCAGGAAATGAAAAGACAAATTGCATTAGGAAAATCTGCTGTCAGGGACCTCTCCAGAATGCTGAAGAGTAAGGATGTCAATCTATAGAGACTAAGGTGCACCTGATCCTGGCCATGGTCTTTGCTATGCAAAGCAAGGATGACAGAAGAATTGTTGCCTTTGAGTTCTGGTGCTGGAGAAGAGTCCTGAACATACCATGGACTGCCAAAATAACTAACAAGTCTATCCAGAATAGGATAAACTGCTCCTTGGAAGCAAGGATTTTGAGACTCTGTCTCACATACTCTGGGCACAAAGCCAGGAGGGACAAGTATCTGGAGAAGGATATCATCCTTGGAAGGATCAAAGGGTAGCACAGGAGAGAAAGACCCTCAAAGAGATGGAATGACACAATAACTGTGATTATAAGGATGGGTGTGTCATAGACAGTGAGACTGGCTCAGGATAGAGCAGGGTTCAGAGCTAGTGTGCACAGGATTGCAGTCGACTCGATGGCACATAACAACATTATGGGGATCATCTGATGAACTGAATGTGAACAGACCTTAAAGAATCCTAGGCAAGAACCCTAAAATGTAGCTACTAATATGATCATGTGTTTTGTTTTGTGTGTTTTTTTAAGGATCCTGGTGGTGGACTGCTTTAAGTGCTGGGCTGCCAACTCCCAGTTAGGGCTGCGGCTGGCAGGAGGAAGGATGACGCACTCTGCTCCTACTGAGATTTCTGGAAGCCTGATGGGTGACGCTGTGAGTTGGAAGTGACTCGGCCGCAGCGGGACCATTATGAGTTCTCAGAGCACACTGTAGACTACTATGCTTTTGTCTTGATAAAAACCTGCTAAATAAGAACAAATCCATCTCACAAAAGTTTTCTCACAAGCAAGATAAAGTGTGTGAGGCACTGAAGAGCAGACCTGGCACACAACCATTTCCTAAAAATGTCAGATCCGACAGTCCTCAGGCTGTATGACACATCTTAGAAGCCCTCCTGGTTCAGTGGCTGAAGAAACTGGCTGCTAATCAAAGGTCAGTGGTTCAAATCTGCCAGTCATTCCGGGGGAGAAAGACAAAGCAGTTGCCTCCATAAAGATCTGAAGGCTGGGAAACGCTGTGGGGTAGTTCTGCTGTGTCCTACAGGGCCACAGCATGTTCCAATCAACTCAGTGGCAATCGGTTTGGTTTGTTATGCTAACTCTTTAAACAACTTATACCCAGGCCAACTAAATTAGAATCTCTATTTAGGACCCAAACATCAATGTTTTTAACTCTTTGCAGGTGATTTTACTAGGAGGCCACATGTACGAAGGAGCAATTCAGGTTGTCACTATGGTGACCATGAAATGATCCAGGCCTGGGGGTCACCTGTGGCTGCAGTCTGTCCTGCTCTCTGCCCACTGAGCCACCCTGAGAAAGTTGTTCTACCTTTGTGCCCTCCAGTGCCCTTATCAATAAACATGTGGGTTAGAAAGTGGCAAGTGGTACATTACATCTATTTCTAAAACCATGAGAGAGAGACAAAAAACCAAACCTGCATCTCCTATGCGTGTCAATAATCACTTTATTAAAGATTAACAAGAATTTCTAGGTGGCTGTCTATTACACAGAACCAGAGACAAGCCGGCTTCCTAAATCACCTAGGCCACAGAACTTCATGTCTGTTACCTGCTTTCTAGCACTAATTACTGAAGTGTGCAGGAAAGACTAAGACCATGAGACTCCTGAGGGAAGCCATCAGCCTGGGGAGGCTAGGAGTGAGGGCATCAGATGGAGAGCAGGCCCTGGAATCTGTATTTAGACAGGCCCATAAGTGGATTCCTCTGTCTAATAAAGTGTGAGAGTCTAAGATCCACCAGGAAACTCCAACTTCAGAAGGCCACATGCAGGCCTTCAGTTCTTGGTTCTCTGCCTTCTTATCTAAACTTGACCTCCAAGCCCACCCCGGAGTGGCCACTCCTCACCTGTAATCGGGCTAAGATGCTAGCTTTCTTCGAGTTGGAGGAGTAGCTCCGGGAGCAGGAAACACTGCAGAAGCGCTTGGTCTTGGAGAAAAAGGCTTCTCTGGTACCCACAATACCACACATCTCGCAGACGGCTGGAAGAGAGCTCGGTACATGACTCATCCAATACAGTTACTTTAAATCATGCAAAACAATGGGTCTTTCAAACATTTAATTAACCAGGTGAGCCCAATTCCTACTGCAGAGACAGTGGTTCTGGTGTGCACATATGAACTATTTTGTCTAAGATAATCTTCTTAAGGGGACCTCTCAAAAGTGCTAAAGAGCATTGATATCAGTTTAGAGACTAACATGCACCTGATCTAAGCCATGGTTTGTTTTTTTTAAAAAAAAAATTATGATTCAGTGTTAATTATTCCATCCCTGCTTACTCCTATGGTAATTTTAATCACTTTCTATGCATCTCAAAGATGGACAATGAGTAAGGATGACAGAAGTATCATCAATGCCTTTGAACTGTCGTGTTGGAGTCCTAACTATCTCAAAGAATGACACAAGAACAAGTCTGTCTGGGACTGGGGACAGTACTGGGAAAAGGACATTGTGCTGGGAAAGGTGGTTGGTCAGAGAAAATGAGTAAGACCCCCCCAACAAGATAAGGCTGACACACTGACTATAAAAAGGGGCTTGAGCTTATCAGAGATGCTTATTAGATAAGCTGAGGGTGACACAGGACAGGGCAGAGTTCAGATCTGCTGTTTAGAGGAGTCACTGTGAATAGCAGTCAACTTGAAGATGGGAAAGTCACGAGAGAGGAAAATGTGAAGAAAAAAACAAGAGTCCAAGGGTATTTAAGACCAGTGTTTTCAACAGGGGAGATTTAGACAATGCTCAAGCCAGAGATCCTAATTACTTGGTCTGAGGTGGGAGCTGGATCCTGTATTTTGTGAAAAGCTCAGGTGATTATGATATGCAACCGAGAGAGATCTCCTAGACTAGATGGTTTTCAACCAGCCCTGAAGTCCTAAGAGTCAAAGAAAAGATTCGAAGACAGAAGAGGACAGGAGAGCAAGGAAAAGAGAAATGAAATTCAACTGGCAGAGAGTACTAGTTTACTCTTCTGAGGATTCTGGGAACCAGGAATGGGAGTGTCGTCACAAACCACCTCACCTGCCCCTTTTCACGGGCAGCCCCTCCACCACTCAACTCGGGCACAAGCCTCCCAACTGGCTTCCAGATGATCCAAGGGGATTCTCCTTGGCACCTTCCACTCTTATCTCACCTCAACCCTCTTACCAGAAGTCATTTTAGTTTGTATCTCCCTTCGCAGTCACCTTTTTCAATCCACACTGTCTTTGGAATGCCACTGGAAGCTGTGCCACTTCTAACCCACAAGCTATTTCTGATCTCTTCTCCAGACACTTCTGGTGTCTTATCTTCTCAACGTCCAGACCTAGAACTCCACGAGCCATTCTCGCAAATTCCACCATCTGTCTGTCAATCCGGGGTGGCCTATGTGTTGCTGTGATGCTGGAAGCTATGCCACCGGTATTTCAAATACTGGCTGTGGTTTCCCCAGCATAGTGACAGCAGGGCCACAGCTGAGATCAGAGTCCAGACAGGACTGAGCACCCTCTGCAAATCTGCAAACAGAGAATCCTGCCCAGCCCCCCAGAGGAGATACTGGATGCCCTCTGCAAGCAGAGATTTCCACCCAGCCTCCCACCCGAGGGGACGAGGGGACGCTGTGTCTGAGCTTTGTTCTTGGTTTAAAGATTAAGCTTACCATTGTTATGTTGGCAACACTTAAGTAAAAGGAAAATATAGTCTCCAGAGATTGAACTTTTTTAGGATGATTGGCTGAAACGAAATAAAAACCGTAAGACTAAGAAAGGGGCCTTTTTCACAGTGCTATGCTGTGAGAGGACCTCTGCCTTGGCCTTTCCCCCTTTTCAGAACTCATTTCCTCGTGTCCCTGCTTTCGTTCTGTGTCTGGTTTGCAATAACTGGCAGCCTCACTCATAGGTTTTAGTGGAGCCTGGAGACTAAGCCAGACAGAAAAGGAGGACTGTCCATCCACTTCTGAAATAACCAGCCCTTGAAAAGCCTAAGGAATAGCAGCAGGACTCTGTCTGATAAAGCCCTGGAAGATGAACTCCTCAGATAGGAGGGCATTCAAACCACAAGTGGTGGTGGTAGGTGCCATCAAGTCAACGACCACTCACTGCAACACTGTGAGCAACAGTTTGGAACTTTACCCTATCCTGTGCCACCCTCACCATTTCTGACACACTCAAGCCCAGTGTCAAAGTCCCCATGTCAATCCATATTGTTGAGGGTCTTCTTCTCTTTCTCTGACCCGCCACCTTCCCCAGCAAGATGCTTTTTCCAAGAAGGGGTCTCTTCTGAGAACATGCTCTAAGCATTGAGACAAAGCTTTACCATTCTTGCCTCTAAGGAGGAGCACCTGGAAGCACTTCCTCCAAGACAGATTTATTTGCTCTTTTGACAATTCATGGGCTAGTCAGTACTATTCTCCAACACCACAAATCAAAGGCAGTAATTCTTTTGTCATTCTTAGTCACTGTCCAACTGTCAGACTTACAGGAAGCAACTGTAAATACCATGGCTTGGATCAGGTACATCTTAGTCTTCACGTCTGCCTTTAAATTTATATCACTGCCCTTTAGCACATTGAAAAGGTTCCTGATAGCAGATTATTCCCAGCATAACACGTCTTTTTAACATGATTGCTGTTACCATAGGTTTGAGTGTAGAGTCAAGTAAAAGGAAATCACTGACAACTTCAATCTTTTCTCCATTTATCATGAGAAGCACAATCACCCTTAATAACATGGATGGAGTAAAGCTTTCACCCAATCAAGGTCCTTCATTTGCTGATGTGGCAAGACTCAAAAATAGGAGAAACAAGAACCAGCATCCATTAATAAATGGCACATAAAAAGTATGAAGTATAGGGAGCTCTGGTGGCCTAGTGGCAAGAAGCTGCACTGCAATCCCTGAAGTACACGGTTCGAATCCACCAGAAGCTCTGCTGGAGAAAGGAGGAGCAATCTCCTCTTGTACCAGTCAGATATGATTTGATGGTACACACACACAAAACAATAATAAAATAAAAAGTATGAAGTATGAATCTAGAAAAACTAAGAGGTGTAAAAAATGAAATGGAATGCAACATTGGGGAGAATGAACAATAGGCATCAAAATTAACTTACATGAAAACAATATCCAGAAACCAGTCAGGAAACAGAAATACACAAATAATCAACAAGTAAGATTAAAATTAGGGATCTGGAGGTTGTTGGTGTTATGTGCCATTGAGTCACCTGCTACTCATTGTGATCATATATGTATAGCAGCTCTGAAGCCTGCCCTGTCCCAAGCCAGTCTCACTGACTCCAACACAACTACTCTCACTGCCCCAGTTACAATAGCAATCCATCTCATCCAGGGCCACCTTCTCCTGCGCTGTCCCTCCACCCTTCCAAGTATGATGTCCTTCTCCAAGGACCAGCCCTTCCTGGCAACATGCCCAAAGTATGTGAGACAGAGCTTCAAAATCCTAGCCTCCAAGGAGAAACTTGGTTTCACCCTCTCTAAGACACAAGGCAAGCCTATTTGTTTTCTTGGTGGTTCATGGTATGTTCAGGACTCTTCTCCAGCACCACAACTCAAAGGCATCAATTCTTCTTCTGTCATCCTTACTCATCGTCCAGCTCTCTGATGTATAGCAAGTAACTGAGAAGACCATGGCCTAGATCAAGCACACCTTAGTCTCTATACCGACATCACTGCTTCTTAGTACTTGAGAGAGATCGCATCCAGCAGATTTTCTCAATGCAATTAATCTTTTTTTTTAGAATTTAAAAGTTTAATTTGAAGTTAAAAATACAAATAGATGTCTATTTGTTTAATGCTGTACAAAAAAGTATGAATAGAACAAAAAGTGAATTAAACATTATCATATGTATTTATAGCACTATCTAGTTACTCATAATTAGCCCATCAAGCAGACCCATTGGTGGATTCAAATTGGCAGAGAGGCACAACTTTTGGCTTAGAAGTGCAACTCCCTACAGACTATACCACCAGAGTTTCCAAAGGCTCCAAGAACTGAATAAACACTGAAGTGTTTTAGCAAACAGGTGCAAACCTAGACACATTTATGTGCCTACGTCAAAAAATGTGGAAGACAGTTAAGTGTCCAATCAACTCAAAGACGTCCAATATTTGAGGCCATTACCAAAAAAAAACAACCAAAAACCCATGGTAATCCAACAGAATTTAGAAATGATCAATACATGCAAGTAAAATAACATGCAAAGTAAAATCTTGCTGAAGATTATTAAAATACAGCAGAGAAGGAACTAATGAGGGATATCACTATTGATGGACCTTGGCTGAAAGCAGAAAATACCAAAAAGATGTTAACTTGCATATTTAGACTTTTTAAATTTTTTTAAATTGGTATTTTAACAAAAGTTTACACAAAACTTGGATTCTATTCATTCACTGTTGTATATTTTCCTCCCTACCTTCCCAAGTTCCATTTTCTCTTTAAAAAGATTCATTGTTACACAATTTCCTCCCTCTCTCTAGCTCCACCTCCCCACCCCCCACCTCTTCTACTTTGCTATGCACCTCTTATTCTGGACTGTTGTCATGCAAATAATACCTAATCATATATTTCTTTTAGACAGTTCTTTCCCTCATCTATTTAAATGTAGTGTTCATTATTTATACCCTTTTCTTAGTCTCTCCCCAAGCCCCAAGTCAGTTCTATTTTATAACAGTGGCACTAGGCAGTATTTGTCCTTCTGTGGGTGTGTTATTTCACTCAGCATAATGTTCTCCAGGGTCACCCATTTTGTGTACTATTTTATGACTTCCTTGTTTTTCAGTGCTGCATAGTATTCCACTGTGTGAATATATCACTGCTTCCCTATTCATTCATTTGTTGATGGGCATTTGGGTTGCTAATAAACATGGGTGTGCAATATTATAGACTTTTTATTGACTATGCCAAAGGATTTTTTGTTGCTTGGATCATAATAAATTTTTTTCATAAGAAGAATGGAAATTCCAAAAATTATGCTCATGCTGAACCTATACATGAACCAAGAAGCATTCATTCATGAAAGGCATATGTCAGGATTGTATTCTTTCACTACATTGACTAATCTGCATGCTAAACAATTTGAGGTGCTGGACTATATGAAGAAGAATGTGGTACCAGGATTGGAGGAAAACTAATCAACAATTTATATTATGCAGATAATACAAGCTTGCTTGCTGAAAGTGAAGAGGATTTAAGTACTTACTGAAGATCAAAGACTACAGCCTTCAGTTTATGTGTTGTAGTGTACCTGGTGCTAAAATAGCCAGAAAGCTCTGGCGGCCTGGTGGCAAGAAGCTGCACTGCAATCCCAGAGGTGCATGGTTTGAATCCATCAGATGCTCTCCTGAGAAGGAGGGGTAAACTCCTCCTGTACCAGTCAGATCTGATTTGATGGTGTATACACACACACACACACACACACACACACACACACACGCTTTCCTAAGCCACCGTCTTTGGCCTTGTCACCTGGCCAGGTGGGAACATGCAAATAAAAGGATACATCCTGAGGCTCCACTCTACCAGAAGGCAAGACCCAAACTGCCACCCTCTGTTTCCCTGAGTCTGTACACTGGTGCTCCTATAAAGAAGTCTGACTTTGCGATGTTTGCAGTTGCCTGGGAGAATGCTTCTACCCAGATCCAGCTGCCTCAATTGTGTCTGCCTGTACCATCAACTACCAAATAAGAAGTAAAGAATGCAGTATGCGGCGAGCTCTGGTGGCCTAGTGGCAGGAAACTGCACTGCAATCCCAGAGGTGCATGGTTCAAATCCACCAGATGCTCTGCTGAAGAAGGAGGAACAATCGCCTCCTGTACCAGTCAGATCCAATTTGATGGTACACACATAAAAAAAGGATAAATAAATAAATAAAAATTAAAAAAAAAGAATGCAGTATGCACTTTGAACTCAGACTCCTGCCCCCCTCAGACTGCAGACTACAGGAGCCGAAGCAGCAACGGCAGAGCACCAGGGACCCAAGGTGAGAGCACTGACCTCACGACTGCTGTCCCATGGAATCAAAGCTAGGAACTTTTGTTCAAGCTTGCTGGAGGACTAGGGTGTTGATGCCTTAACTGGCAGGACTAAGAAGCCATGGTCTTTCCATTCACTTGCTACGCATATGACAATGAGACTATGAGTAAGTATAACAGAAGAATTGAAGCCTTTAAGCTATGATGTTAGAGAGAATACTCTAACTGCCAAAAGTACAGATATTTCTTGGAGAAAGTACACCCACAGTGCTCCCTGGAGGCAAAGATGACAATGCTTCATTTCATATACTTTGGACGTGTTGTTAGGAAAGGCAATTCCTTGGAAAAGACCATTCATCAGATGGATTGACACAGTGACTGCTGCAATGGACTTGAGGGTGTCAGATATTGTGGGATTGGGACAGAACAGGACAGAATTCAATCTGTTGTCCATACAATGAACAACATAGTATGAGTCATACTCGACTTGATGGCACCTAACAACACAACAATAATGCTTTGTAATACTGGCCTAAAGAGTACCCTGTGAACATAATTTAGAAGCTGTCCTGACTGAGACATTGTCTCCTGTTGTCAGCCTGAATGGTAGGTAACCTATTAACTTTCCTAATAAATTCCATAATCATGTTTCGGTGAAGTGTGAGTACTGTGATAGATTTCAGACCCAGGAGGACAACAGGACTGGTACTGGAATTAGTAGAACTAGGTGTGGGAGCACAGGGGACACACCTGATATCATGGGAATTAGTTTTGTATTGTAGATGCTATTGATGGGGTAGTTCCCCATTATGGAAATAGCAGATGTCAGATATGGTCATCCTCATGCTACCCTTAATGTTTGGATTAAGTATCAATCATGACTCAATATCCTACTTAATGGAAGAAAAAACCTTAAGTTGTCAATGATTTAATTGTACCAGGATCCAAAATCAACTACTATGGAAGCCACAGTTTTTTTTAACAAAAGTCAAATGATGTCCTGCATTGAGCAAAGCTGCTGTTAAGGCCCTCTTTAAACTGTCTTGGAGGAAGTACAACCAGAGTGCTCCTTAGAAGCAAGGGGAATGAAACGTCATCTCATGTACTTTGGGCGTGTTGTCAGGAGGCGCCAGTCCCTGGAAAAGGACATCAGGCTTGGATCATCAAAGAAAGAAGGACCCTCAACGAGATGGATTGACACAGTGACCTTGACAATGGGTGAGGCACAGGAGAAACTGTGAGGATGGCGCTGGATGGGGCAAGGTTTCAATCTGTTGTTGTAGGGAGGGCTGTTATGAGTAGGAGTCAATCCAATGGCACCAAACAACAATATTATTCATACAAATTAATGCCAAAGCAACACCATGTTAATAAATGGCACCTAATATGCGCTGAGCAAATATCAGTTGAATGAAACGATAAATGAAGCCACATTCTGAAATCAGACTGCAGCAGAAGATTGCACCTTACGTTAACTCAGAGGGCTCTGTCTCTCTCAGAGCTCCTTGTTACTGTGCACCATCAAATCGGAATGGACCCTTAGCTGACCCTCCAGAGGTTCTCCAAGGCTGCTAATCACCTAGGAGGAGACTGCCCATCTCTCTCACGTGGAGCAGCTGGTGGATTCAAATTGCATCCCTTCGAGATTACACCGTAGCGTACCACTAGGCCACTACAGCTCCCTTAGACATCAAATCAAATAGCCCCCTGGCCCAAAACCCCCAATTCTTCCAAAACAGGAGCTCCTAAGTCCTCCCCATCTTCAGGACACATTCTGAACACACACCTGGTTCAGAACCACTGCCATCCACAGAGCGGGGAGTCGTAGGGTTGAGTAAATGTACAGGGGAGGTTGGCAGCTCCCCAGCTTCCCGATCTTCATTTTCTGCTTCACTGGACTCCTCCAGGTAAGAGCTGCTCTCACTGCCCACACTACTGTTGTAAGCTCGGAAACTGTCATAGCCACCGAAGAGCTCCAACTCATCTTCCTCTTCTTCCTCCATAGGTTCTGAAGATGGAGTCTCCTGGTAGAAGGATGAACAAAGCAGGCAGGGGAATGAATCACAGCTAGCTTAGTGTGTGAAGAGGAAAGGCTGCTGCGAGTCTGTTCTTAGGCCCCATCCTAGTCCCTTGTCAAATAAGACACTTCTGGAATCCCTTTTGCACACCATCTATGAGATGGACTGACTCAGTGACTAGGGTAATGGGGGTATGTGTGTTAAAGACAATAATTTAGCTCAGGATAGAGCAGGGTTCAGAGCTGCCGTACACAGGGTCACTATGAGTTTCAAGAGACTCAACAGCACATAACAACAGGCCCATTAGTCTTCTTTGTACCATATTTCTCCATTACTCAACAGAACTTCATAAAACTGCAAAACATCAAGCCCACTGCTGCTGAGCTGATTCCCAGTTACTCTATAGGCCTGAATTGATTTGCTATATTGGATTTGCAAAGCTGTAACCTACAGAAGCAATCTGCCACCTCTTCCTCCCTTGTGGAGTGGCTGGTGGGTTCAAACTGCTGAGCTCCTGTGCTTAGCCTTTGTACCGCAAGGCTCCTATGAAGAGGGTACAAAGTAGATGAAGAGCCTGCAGCAGTTTTACAAATGATAACATTTTAACGTGGTTCAAATAGAAAACAATCCTGTGAAAATACCCTCTGGAAGATACCTCGTGAAGAAGGTATAGCTTACAAATTCATTCTTCTCCATTAGTTTATGCACACCAACAGAATCTCAACTCCAAGTTTAACTCAGAGGACAGCAATTCATCTGGGATCTAGACGACACCAGGGATTGTCTGGCAAATGACACACAGAAAGCCATAGAACAGTGGTAGGTACCAAAGTTCTAGAGCTAGCTGGCTCTGGTCCTAACTAGCCATGAGTCCTTGGGAAAATCGCCTGATCTCTCTGGGTCTCAGTTTTCTTAACTAACTGACTCATGGGAGTAACTGAGATGTAACTTAGATACTTCAGACTGAGCTACCTATGATCCAGGTGAAAAGATCCAACAAAGTGAACCATTTGGGCTCAATACTATCTCCCTGCTTACTAAATGAGTTCTGGTGGCACAGTGGCTAACGGCTTTGCTGCTAACCAAAAGGTCAGTAGTTCAAGCCTACCAGCAGCTTGGGGAGTAGGGGAATGGCCCTGGCCTAGCTATCTGTTCTCTCCTTCTGTGGGGTTAACTGCCTCTAAAAACCCACTGGATGGTCAGGGATGGGTTGGTTCCAACTCAGTCGAACACCATATGAACAATGGGGCAGTTCTAGCTTGTAATACATGAGGTGGCTCTGAGTAGGGAACTATCTGATAAAACACATTAGACCTGCCGCAAGTCAATCTCACTGCTGGAATTTCAAGATCTGTGAATGAGGATAACAGAGCCCATTTTGCAGGACTTGAGGGAGATGAGTGAGTGACTCATAGAGGTAGAGCACTCAGAAAACCGATGTGCACAAATCCAATAAACACTGGCAATCATCACTAGTGGCTCTGTCCAAAAACAAACAAAACACACACACAAACACAAAAACCCAACCTTTTTTTTACATTTTTAATTTTTTTTTTTCCCCTGGCTCTGACCGGTATGAGACTGTCCCTTCCTCTCCAGCAGAGCATCTGGTGGATTCGAACCGCGCACCTCTGGGATTGCAGTGCAGCTTCTTGCCACCAGAGCGCCCTAAAAAAGCTATTTCTTAACACAGTTCATTTTAAAGAGTAATGTATCGGGTTTTGAGAAAAACAGGCTCTCGAATCAGAACTGCTTCGAAGTGGTTTCGGGTCCTCCTACTCCTTAATGATGATTTCACACAAGCCACTTGTTGAACCTTGCGCTCCAAGATTCTCCATCAGTGCAGACAGAACAAGCCTTCTTTGGAAAGAAGGAAGCGCTGCCTATGCGCAGACATTCTTCCCCTGCACCCTGACCCTGTAGACTTTGTGCGCTTTTCTACCTTCTCTCCGCAGCGGCTGGGAGGGTAAATGGGGGAGAAAAGGGGATTGCGAGGGTCGGCGATGACAGGTGGGAGGGTTCCAGGTTGCAGGAGCGGGGGAGGCAGAGTGTAGGAGCAGGACAGACGTCTGCCCAGGTCCCGCACCTTCCAGCGGAGAGCCCTGGCGGGAGCGGCACCCAGGCCCTAAGCCGCGGCTTCCGCCGCGAGAAGGAACCATAACAATCGCTCTGCGTCCGAGGGGCGCGAGCGCACGTGACCACGCACCAGGACGCGCTCTCCACCCTCCACGTCACACCGGGCCTCGAGACCCCCAAACACGACGACCGCCCCCACACGAGACGGCAGGACAAGGCCTCGGCCCAGTCCGTCCTCCCAGGCGAGTCGCCCGACATGCAGCCCCGCCGCGGAGGGAGCACACGGCCAGACCCTGGCCGCTCATGGCCCTGGCTTTGCCCCGCTACCTCAGTTTACCGATCCTCCCTCCTTCCACCCCTCCGGGCGTGGCTAAAAAAGCCGAAAAAGAAGGGTTTCCCAACGCGAGGTGCTTCGGGGGTTCCCGTGCTCCTTCGCGCCCCGCGCTCCCGCGCTCACCTCGACGCCGCGGGGCTTCTCCATGAGACCCTAACACAGTTTCTTCAACCGTCACCCGCTGTAAGAGGCCATGTTGGCCTCGCCGCTCTCCTCGCGCTAGCTCATTGGCCGACTCCCCGAGCAGCGGGCCAATCACGCGTCAGGAAGCGGAAAAGCCGCCGGGGGAGGGCGCCCGCGGGCGGTTGTGGGAGTGCGAGTTCGCCGGCGGGCGGTTGCCGTGGTGACGTGAAAACTGCCCGCTCCCGGCGCACAGTCTGGTTTAAAATCCGAAAAGGTGAACGTCCGCGTTGCATTCTTTCTCCATACCTATTCAGTCTGTCAACGATTTCGTTTTACTTGCATCCAGAATCAATACCCTTGGCACCAGCGGTCAGGAGATGAGGAGGGACGTGATGCTGGGAAGGGTGGAGGGACGGCGAAGGAGAGGAAGACCCTCAAACCAGGTGGATGGACGCGATGACTGCCTCAGGGGCTCGAGGGTGTCAGGAAGTGTGAGGATGGCTCAGGATCGGACAGAGTTCAGATCTGTTATTCATAGGGTCGCTATGGGGCTGGGTCGTACTCGACACAACACCTAACAATTGCACTGGGAAAGTCTACAGTCAGGGATCTCTCCACTTTATTGAGAAGTAATGATGTCAGTTTGAGGACTAAGGTGCGTCTGATTTAAGCCATGGTCTTTCTGATCACTCTCTGTATCTGAGAGCCGGACGATGAATAAGGATGACAGAAGAAAAATTGATGCCTTTGAGCTGTGGTGTTGGAGAAGAACGCTGAACATCTCATGAACGGCCAAGAAAACAAATAATGTCTTGGAGAGGGTGCAGCCAGAGTGTTCTTTGGAGGCAAAGATGATGAGGCTTCGCCTCACACACTTCGGGCATATTGTTGGGGTGGGGGACTGTTCTTGGAGAGGGACAGATGCTCAGAAAGGCAGAGGGTCGGTGAAGGAAAAGACCACCCTTGACCAGCTGCATTGACACAGTAACTGCCGCCAGAAGTGTGAGGATGGAATAGGATAGTACAAGGTTCAGATCTGTTGTTCATGGGGTTGCTATGGATCGTACTCAACTCGAAGGTACCTAACAACAACAACAACAACAAATCAGAAGACGTGCTGCACTGGGAAATCTGATATCAAAGTCCTCTCTTCGGTGTTTAAATCAAGCCATGGTATTTTCAGTTGCGTCCTTTACATCTGAAAGCTGGACAATGAATAAAGATGATATAAGAAGAAATGAATGCCTTGGAAATTTTGGATAAGAGAGCTGAATAGACTTCCCAAAAAAACCAAACAAGACGGGCTTGGAGAAAGTGCATCCAGGGAGCTCCTTTGAGGCAAAGATTATGACACTTCATCTCACATACTTTCTGTGTGTTGTCAGGAGGGAAGGAGACCCTGGGAAAAACCATCATACTGGTAAAGGAGGAGGTTCTAGGAAGACCCTCAACAAAATGGATTAATACAGTAACTGTATCAATGGGCTCAGAAATTGTGAGAATGATACAGGATAGAGCAAGGTTTGCATATGTAGTTTATACTTTATAGGGGCCCAAAGAGACAGACTGGACTTGAAAGCACATCACAACTACAAGTACAGTAGGCAGTCCTGGTGATGTCATTGTTAAAGTATCGAGCTACTAATTGCAAGGTCAGTAGTTCAAACCCACCTGGTACGCTCTGCAAAGAAAAAGAGTCTGGGAAAGATTTATAATCTTGGAAACCTGATGGATAATTGAACTCTGTGCTTTAGGGATTATGTGAGTCAGTTTTTTGTTTACTTGGACACCATGCCAAGATGATAACCCTATAGAATCACACCTTCTTTTGGGTTTTTTTGATGTGTTTTTTTTTTCCACCCCCATACATTCTTTTGAGTGAGAAGTTTAAGGTGCTCTTGTTATAGTGTAGATTCTGATTCAGTAGCTATTATCTGGGGTTGTTGTTATTGTTATATTCCCTTGAATCACCTGCAACTCACAGTCCCCTGCCAATGTACTGCACCCACTGATTTTTTTTATATAATCTCCAGCAAAATTTTATCACATGTCATGATATCATGATATTGTTCAGTATTTTATAAATTCTATTGGATCATCTCTCCTCCACAACCCCCGTGGGCACAGATCTTCTAGTTGGTCAGCCAGGGAGTTGTTTTCCAAATTTCTTGGCATAGACAAAAGAACATGTCCAAGATTGTATCTATTTGCTAGCATACCTCAGTTGGTATTAAATTCAATCCTGTAGCATTATTTTTTGCCAGTGCCTGAAGTGTAGCCTGGACTTCTTCTTTCATTCAAACTGTTCTCAACCAAGCTGAAATGATTCAGTGTCAACTTAAATTCTTTCTGTTAAGTAACTCTGAGTATTCCTTCCATCTCCTTTTGATACTTTTGATGTCATTCAATATTGGGCCAATGGGCAGCATCAGCATGGATGGTGAAGAGATTGAGATAGTTAGCAGTTTTAGTTTGCTTGGCTTCACAGTCAACACTCTTGGTAGAAGCAGCCAGGAAATCAAGAGACAAGTTGCA